TAAATTATTGTTCAATTTTACAATTAACATTCACATTCAAATAAAAGTCATAATCATAAACATAAACGATTCTCTGAATCCTTGGACTTCCCTGAGCTGAGATTCCATGGATTCCATTCAACTGCATCATATAATGTTCTCCATTTTTTCCTAAAATTCCATTTTTACCATAGTTCTTGTTACATTACAAGTGTTGTTACAATGCTGCCAATGTTTTTAATTGTGTACAGTGTTCTCCAAGGGAACTTACAAATTTTCCCCATTCCTTATTAAAGTTATTCTTCTTGGTTTCTAATCTTTCCGGTCATTTTTGCCATTTTGTCGTAGTCCATCATTTTTATCAACCATTCTTCTCTGGTAAGGACTTTATCTTTTTTCCTTCTCAGAACCAAAAGTATCGGCGCTGCTGTCGTCGCATACATAGTCGTTTCTGCTGCTTTTGTATTTCTGCACCTTAGATTCCTAGTAAAAACGCTTCTGGGTTTTTCCACAAAGGTTATTTTAAATATTTTTTTAACTCATTATATATCATTTCCCAAAATGCTTTTGTTATCTTGCAGGTCACCATGTATGGTGGAGGGTGCCTTCTTCATCTTTACATATCCAACAAATATTTGTAGCAGTTCTATACATTTTTGCTAATTTAGTAGGTGTTAGATACCACGATACATCATTCTCACAAAGTTTTCCATGTACAGCATGCTGTGAATTTTAAATCTTCCCTCCATAACTTTTCCCAAGATGAGAATGGTATATTATGCCCAATATCTCTTGTCTATTGTATCATCACTGATTTAACTTGTTCATCTTTAGCATACCATTCTAGCAACAGTTTATACATTTTGGAAAGTAACTTCACATTCATTTTTATTACTGATATCCTTCCCCACTTAAATGCATTGTAAACTTCATACAGGGAAGTTCCTTTGGTGAAAAATGGGACTCCACTGCGCCATCTGGTGTCATAGTGTTATAATGCATAGAAAGAGCTTTATCTTTACAAATGTAGCCTAGTCCCCGGAGAAAACTATTACTTCCCTTAATCTGGACACTATATATCTGCAGATGCAGCCTAGAACAGCATTAGCTTTTTTGTAATTGCATCACACTGCTGACTCATATTAAGCTTGTTGTCCACAGAAGACCTCAAGTGAAGGAGACAGTGTTGTTGCAGAGAGTTTCAGAAAAGCAAACTGTTTTACACCTTTATATTTTTTTTCCAGCCCCAAAATTTGAAACAGGAGACATGACAATGTCTTGCCAGCTTTCTGTACATGATAACGTGTTCAGGAGGAAGTTGCTTTGCAAATGTGCTTTGCAAACTGCAAGCAGCAAGTTTCATTCAGCCTAGGGCAAATTCATTTGCTCCATATCTTCACCATTCCCTGGTCAAGAATCCAAAGAGTTTTCTTGGAACACCCCGAACCTTGAAATTTCTATCCCAGAGATTGAACAGGTAGTAATCACCAGTGATATGACCTGAAAGAATAGCATTCTGGTAAAAGTTAAATGATCCACTTTTGCTGGAACACTTAACCAGATTGTGGACTCTTGTTCATTGAAGGCTTTCAGCAGAGATTGTTTGAGGAAGAAATGGGAATTTGCCTTCAACTATTATACTGCTACTATTATACTACTACTACAATGCTTTGGTTGGCATTCCCTGCATTACAGAGGGATGGCTTGGGCAACCCTCGGGGTCTCTTTCTGCTCTGCAGTTTTTTTTATTGTAGGGTGACAAGCAGAAGAAAGAAATTTGTCTGGATAAAAATATAGTGTAAAAACAGTTGTGTGAGGTTTTTTTGGAAGCATCAAAGTGGTGGAGGTAGGGGGTAGGTTTCTGAGCCCAGAAACCTGTTTAGAAAAGCTCATAAGATGCCCTAAGCAAGCAGTCAGAACTCCCCATCCCCGGGAGACATTTGAACTGTAACCGTGTATGTGCAAACAGAAGGGGAAATGACAGGCAGCCAGAGTTCCGGAGTACTGACCCAGAAACTGAATAGCTAGAGGAGGCCAACAACCTACCTCTTGAAAGACTGACTCCTGTGACTAAAGGATTAAAAGAGCAGCAGTTACTGCTCTCCTTGCGAAAAGCACTGAGACACCACTTAGTGTGCTTTGGCATGCAGTTTTTTTGACTTCCCTGTCTTCAAGAGCAGGGAACGTTTGGCTTACTAATGAAAGGCTTATCAAGAGTGAAGGTGTTGTAAGTGAAAATTCACAGGTGTAAAGTGGAAACAAGCCACATATTCAGAATTCTGAATTGGAAAATATCACCAATGAAAATATCACCATGTTCAGGAGGAAGTTGCTTTGCAAATGTGCTTTGCAAACTGCAAGCAGAAAGTTTCATTCAGCCCAGGGACCCTGAGGGCCATCTAGTCCAACTCCCTCCAATGCTGGAATCTCAGCTAAAGACATCCACGACACATGGCCATCCAACTTCTGCTTAAATACCTCCAAGGAGGAGAGTCCACAATCTCCCAAGGGAGACCATTCCACTGTCAAAAAGCTCTTACTGTCAGTAAGTTTTTCTGCGGAGATCATCTGTTAGGGCGACCAGAGCTGCCTCGGTCCCATGATGAGCACGGAAGCCGGATTGGAATGGATCCAGAGCTGATTTTTCATCCAGAAACCCATCAAGCTGTTCAGCAACCGCTCTCTCAATCACCTTACCCAGGAACGGAAGATTCAAAACCGGGTGGTAATTGGATAGATCTAAAGGATCTAATGATGTTTTCTTTAAGAGCGGGCGCACCCCTGCCTCCTTCAGTTCCCCTGGGAATGTCCCGGCGCCAAGGGACAAACTGATGATATCCCCTAGGGGGGCCCCGCACCTCGTCTGGACACACTCTAATCTGCCAGGACTGGCATGGGTCAAGAGGACAGGTGGTGGGCTTTCCAGCTCGGAGGAGTTTGTCCACATCGGTTGGGGATATCCGGTCAAAGTGGTCCAATACTGGACCCGAGGACAGTCAAGGAGGCTCCAGTTCCGTTATTTTATCCAAATTGGCAGGGGGGTCACGGCGGAGCAACAGGACCTTCTCCGCAAAAAAGCTAGCAAATGCCTCACAGCTGTGTGTCAAATTGTTATTTAAATTTGGCTGTCCCTCAAGGGATGTTAAAGACCTAATTACACTAAATAATTGTGCCAGGCGTGAGCTAGCAGATGCAATGGAGGCCGAGAAGTAAGACTTCTTAGCGGCCTTCACTGCCATCTTGTAGGTTTTCATAAAAACCCTATAAGATGTTCTTGAGGCTCCATTGCGAGCACCCTGCCATACTCGCTCTAGCCGCCTGAGGTCCCACTTCATTTTCCGGAGCTCCTCGGTAAACCAGAGAGCCCGGTTTAGACGGGGTCGCAGAGGGCGCTTAGGTGCGATCTCATCAATGGCTGCCGGGAGCTGGATATTCCAGCCCTCAACAAGCTCAGTCAATGAGTCGCCAGGGGGAGCAAGGTCCCACAAGGCTTGGCAGAATCTATCAGGGTCCATCAGCCTCTGCGGGTGAGCCCAGATCAGCTCGCCACCTAAGCAGGGTGGGGGTGGAAAGTCAATCCTGGCTTTCAGAGCGCAGTGATCAGACCATGGCACCTTCATCGAAGGAGACATGATCACATCTATACCTACGCCAAAGATCAAATCTGGCGTGTGGCCTGCTTGATGTGTGGGCCCGAAACAAACTGGGAGAGCCCTAGTGTCGCCATGGAAGACACCAGGTCCACAGCCTGTGAGGAGGGAGTGGCATCAGCATGGATGTTGAAGTCCCCCAAAACCAATAGGTTAGGGAACTCCATGGCCCAGCCAGCCACTGCCTCCAGTAGGCCTGACAGGTTGGCTACTGATGCGCTATGTGGCCGGTACACCAGCCAGACAGCCAAGCTCTCCTCGGAGCCCCACACTAAGCCAACACATTCAATGCCAGGGATCGATGGCGATGGTAGAGCCCTGAAAGAACAATCTTCCCAGATTAATAATGCCACACACCCCAGCCCACAGTCCGCGACTGGTGGAGGACAGAGAAACCCGGGGGCACCATCTCTCGTAAGGTAACTGTTTCCCCTTCGTTTGAAGACTTGTTCTCCAAAGTCTCTTTGTCCTCTTTAATTCCACTTTCCATTTCATTCTTCTGTTTTCTTAGCTTTTGGGTGGTTGCTTCCGTACCCATCTCTGCTGTTTCTCCTTGTTAAAATGGTATATATACAAACACACATACACATACAAACACACCAATTGCTCAGTGTTCCTCCATCCCTCCATTATTCCTAAAGCCACAGTTATCTCAGTTTTCCACCATCTCCATTTTACTCAAACTTCTGCCATTGAAGGAAAGGCTAGTGGAAGTCAGGGGAACGTCTGTTTCAAACTTCTCCCCCTTCCATTCTTTAACTGTGATAAAGGATGTGAAGCCTTCAAATATTGCATAGTGCCTCCACACAACCTATTTCACTCCTGATACCTTGCGTGGTCCGCGTTCCGGGTTCCGGGTTCAATGTAGTGATTTAGAAGAGATATTTTATTAACAAGCACACATGTACAGTATCCATCAAAGAAACTTAACATTCTTCAACTGGAGAAGCTGATAGCCTTGCTCTTAGGAGTCTACTCATTTTAAAGATACAATAACATAGCATGGGGGGGTGTTAGAAGGGGGCTGCAGAAGAGGGAGAGAGGAGGAGGTGTGGGAATGTGTGTGTAAGGGAGATTTGAGAAAAGGAAGGGGAGGGGAGGAGAAAAGCGAGCAAGAGTAAGAATGGGGATGCAATGGAAGTTGTCAAAAAGGAGGGAGTAAGGAGGCATTGGGAGAGGGATGAAGATGAAAGCAGGGGCATGAAAGGGCCTAAAGAAAAGGAGGAGATGGGGTGAAGGGGAAAATGGATGCAAAGCAGAGCTGCAGAAGATAAGAGAGAAGTGGCTTCAGAAATGGAGCTGCGAAGGTGAAAAGAGACCTCAGTAGTTGCATGGGATGAGATGGGAAGGGAAGGGGAAATGCTAGGGGGTTCATGTGTCAGGAGTGGCCAAGGGGTCACCGAGTGCAGGAAGCAGGGGTGCAGCCCCTAATATTTTCCTAATTTTTAATGTGTTGCAGCGGGGAACTGCACAGAGTTTATACGGATGGGGATGTGCTATAATCCCTAGTATAGCCTCTTGATTGAGCTCTTTGACTCCTTCTGGCAGCTGAAAACTGAATGCCCTCAGCAGGCTGGTCAGGAAGACGAATATTTTGATCTTTGCCATCTGCATTCCCAAACAAATGCGAGCCCCTGAGGAGGAGACAAGAAGAAGGCAGCAAGTGAGCAATAATTTACTTTCCCATGTTCATTGCTTTGTAGCTATAAGCATTCTGCATAACACTTTGGCAAAATAGACATAGTTAGGATAGGGAAAACATCAAGGCTGCTGTCAGTTTTCTAGCCTGGTCAGTGCTAACCTTCCTTTCTTCTTGTTATACTTATATTTTATTCTGTAATTTGAAGTTCCCTATCTCATATCAAGGAAGATACATTCAGGAAGAGGATGAATTGAAGATGAAGTGTCCTGTGGGAGGGGCAGGGCAGAGAGCATCTTCCAGGGCTAGAAGCCAGTGTAAGAGGGTCTAGCTCCCAGTGAGAACTGGGAGGGCTCACTTTTCTGTGTGCAGAATAAGGGTGAAGATTTAATTTTGATAGAGGACTCTGTAATTTCCTTTATTCTTTTCTATTTTTTCTTTCCTAATCTTTTTTCTATTTTCCCTTTTAGATTAGTATGATTTTTATTGTGTCTTACGTATAAAGCTTTTTAATAAAACTTGATTTTAAAAAATGAAAGGAAAACTTTGGTCAACTGCCCAAATCAGCAATGCAGAAAGTGGTTAAGACCATGGAGCAAACTCTCCTGCCAGGTTTACTTCACCTTGGTAGGAACTAGCATTGCTGCCTGAAGAGAAGTTGGGTGGCTTGCAGTGGTGATGTGTGACAGGGAACAGCAGTATCCTGGTGCTGGCAGTGCTGCCTCTCTCAGGGACAGGGCAGGGGTGGCAAATGTAGGGAGGTGCAGATGGAGACCACATAGGTGTATGTGCATGTGTGGGTCCCAAGCCACCAACCTAGAGATCCCCTTAACTTGCCAGTGCTTTGCCCCATTCTGCTGACCAGCAGTGCCACTCCAGCCAGAAAGGTGCTCCTTCTGCTCTGGCCCACTCCCTCCTGTGCTGCTGCTGATGTCATTTCCTGGAAGCAGACCAGTAAGCACATCTACAGATCACAACATAGCTTGGTCTTCTGAATTTACCTGCACCAAATGGGAGATATTCTTCTCTGTTCACGAATTGTCCATCCTTGTCCAAAAAATGATTTGGGTTGAACTCTGCAGGTGTCTCCCATCGTGTTGGATCAGGAAGAACAGAGCGCAGATCGGGAATAATCATAGTCCCCTGCAAACAAGAAACAAGTGACTTGGAATGCATTCACATCAATACTTTTTTTTTATTGTCCCACACTATCCCAAGACTAATCATTGCAGAGACTGATCTGAATTATTATTGTTGTTGTTGCTGTTATTATTATTATTATTATTATTATTATTTTGGTGGGTGGCTTTGTATTCATCACTGTAAAAACTTTCTGTACAGGCAGGAACACAAAAGGGCTTTCCGCCACCTCTTTTAAAATGAAAGCTCACAACCCAGGTGAGACCTCTGGATACTTCAGGCTCCTCCCCTGCCACAATTGCCCCATGGAATGGCACTTGCCGATGGTGAAACATGTCTGCAGATGGAGCTCCTGCTCTTGCCCTTCAGATTTTTGACTAGACAGGAAGTTCCTGTACGGCTGGCTGCATCTCTCAATATGAAACCTTCTGCTGCTCTTTGCTCTTGAGCTACAGGAGTGCAGCTATATCACACTGTTATACCTTGGGAATGAGAAAACCACGCAGCTTGAAATCCTTTGTACATTGCCTAGGGAACCCAAAAAAACTGGCAGGTCTAAAGCACTGTATTTCATGAATCACAGCATTAGTGTAGGGCAGTTTCTTCTTGTCTTGATAGCAGATTGAGTGAGCAGAACCTATGACATCTTCTATTTCTTTGTGCATTTTATCTGAAGAGAATGATGGAAACAGAAGTTTTATCATGAATACTGCATTTTATTTCAGATGGACATTTAATTCCCTTGAACATATTCCATAAATCTCTGTGAATGAGTCCCAGTTTCTTGCATTTTTAGGTTACCTGGTCCTCCAAAGAGCTCGTCTGTGTACATGATTCTTCCCCACTCTAGATCCCAGGTGTGAAAAGGCTGAAAGTGAAGCTCATCGCAGTTGTTTCTGGTTACCAGAGCTGGCTGGATTTGCTGAAGGGCTGGGATCAAAGGCTGTCATATATTCATTCTCCACCCCCAGCCCTCAATATTTCCTACTTAGTTTCACTAATACTCATTTCCTCATCTGATTTTTGGTTAGCATCACTCATATAAAGGTAAAGGTAAAGGACCCCTAGACGGTTAAGTCCAATCAAAGGAGACTATGGGGTGCTTCGCCCATCTCGCTTTCAGGCCTGGGGAGCTGGTGTTTATCCACAGACAGCATTCCGGGTCATGTGGCCAGCATGACTAAACCACTTCTGGCACAACTGGACACCATGATGAGTGCCAGAGCACACAGAAATACTGATTACCTTCCCACCGCAGCACTACCTGTTTACTTACACTGGCATGCTTTCGAACTGCTACGTTGGCAGAAGCTGGGACAGAACAACAGGAGCTCACCTGTCTTATGGATTCAAACTGCCAACCTTCTAATCAGCAATCCTTAGAGGCTCAGTGCTTTAGACCACAGTGCCACCCGCATCCCTCATGTAATGGAGCACGGAGAGGCAGGAATGAGGCTCAGTCACTTATCTCACAGCAGGGGCATTCTTGTACATTTGCTGCATAAAGAAACTGCTAGCAGATTTGCAAAAGAAAACAGGTTGTGGTATGGTATCAAACTGGAGGGGGGAATGTGTTGATTCCTGCATTGCAGGGGGTTGTATTAGAAGACCCTTAGGGTCCCTTCCAACCCTACTATTGTAGGCTTCCTTATGAAACCTTTAAAGAACTATGCTCCACCCTAGTGGTCAAGAGAAGCCCTGGCTCTCCTCTCTCACCTTGGATATCTGGATGACTTGCCAGGAGGAGAAGTGCCCATTTCAGAGAACACCTAGTTGTGTCCGACCCTCCTATAAAGAGGTCAAAAATGCACTGGGCCAAGTTTTCTTCATCATAGGTGGACTCTGGGTCATTCCTGCTCTGGTGTTGAAAATGGGGAAAGTGACATGTCATTTACATGCATTACATTCTGTCCTTCAGCACTTTATCTTCCTTCCCCCACTTATTACCATACCAGGGTGGCCACACGTGCTTCATGAGAGGTGGGGTGTCCTCTTATAGTGCCTAAGGTGAAATGGGAAGCTGCTGCCACCCCCCCCTTACTGTTGCTGCCCTCACTCGCTGGATCATCACCTTTTTGTGGTGAGTGGGCTTGCACATTCCTATGACCCTTGTGAGTGAAGCCATTGGGAATCTCGTACTCCCAGCAGGGTCCCCCAAGGCAGTAAGGTCAAAGGGGAGGAGCTAGACAAAGAATGACCCAAGAAGTCATCAACGGCAGAACAGGTGGGTGATAACAAGCGGTATGTTACAACGTCTGTAAAGGTGGATGAAAGCTGCAGCAGATAAGAATTTACCGGTTGCCATGACAACTTATGCCATCAGAACAGAGCCTTACTGCAAAGACTGTTCATTGGTCAGTGTGCACTGATCTACAGACATAAAACAAATTCACGTACAGGCATTTTCCAAAAAACCCATCCCAAACCCTGTCACCAATGGAAGCGAAAGCCTTGAAAAAGCTCAATATGGAGGTCAAATGGCCGAAATATTGGGAAATCTTGGAACAAGATGGAGATAGACTGAAATTGCAGAGCTTTGAAAAACTAAAAAACAAAGTGCGAGACTGGCTTCATTATTTTCAGATAATGGAGGCATTTAAATTGGACAAGAAAATTGGCTTCCAGCTGGAAAAATCAAAATTAGAAACTGAACTGTTAGAACCCAAAACTAAGAATTTGTCAAGAATGTATAACTTGCTGTTGAAATGGAATACTCAGGATGAAACGGTGAAATCTGCTATGATTAAATGGGCACAAGACGTTGGACATAACATTATGTTCGCTGACTGGGAACGGTTATGGACCACAGGTATGAAATTTACGGCATGTAATGCCTTAAGAGAGAATATTATGAAAATGATATACAGGTGGTACATAACTCCAGTCAAGCTTGCAAAAATCTATCATTTGCCCGATAATAAATGTTGGAAATGTAAAGAAACTGAAGGTACATTTTTTCACCTTTGGTGGACGTGCCCAAAGATTAAGGCTTTCTGGGAAATGATATATAATCAATTAAAAAGGTATTTACATATACGTTCCCTAATAAACCAGAGGCCTTTCTCCTGGGCATAGTCGGCCAAATGGTGATAAAAAAGGATAGAACTTTCTTTATGTACGCAACAACAGCAGCAAGAATACTTATTGCAAAGTATTGGAAGACACAAGAGCTTCCCACACTGGAGGAATGGCAGATGAAACTGATGGACTATATGGAACTGGCGGAAATGACTGGTAGAATCCGTGACCAGGGAGAAGGGTCGGTGGAGGAAGATTGGAAGAAATTCAAAGACTATCTGCAGAAACATTGCAAAATTAAAGAATGTTAGAGTGATGTTGGATTGAAAATAAGTGGCTTCCAGCTGTACAGAATTTAAAGTATAGATAGATTAAGATTAAGGATTAGGATTAAAAAAGTTTAAGGAAATGGAAATTTGGTTTTTAAGAGGTAAAATTTTAACGTTATATTATATTAAGACTAAAGATTGGGATTAAAAAAGAGGGAAAGAAATTGCTGGACAAACAATTTGAACTGGAATACAAAAGAGGGAGGTATGAGGAGGTCCAGAAAATAAGTTAATTTAAAAATGGAGATGAAAAGGCGATATTGTTTTTAACTGTTTTTTTCTTTTTTGTCTTTTGTTTTCTGTTCTTTTTTTTCTTTTTTGGATTATGTATTGTGTATTTTTTGAATTGTGTATTTCTTTTTTATGTTGTATGTTTAATCTTTTATGGAAACTTTAATAAATATCATTAAAAAAAAACCATCCCAAACCCAAACACCCAAAGTTCCATGGTGATCAGCATATGGTAACAGGGGCAGGATTGTGAAATCTGGAAGCCCTTAGTCATGAAACAGCACATGGGCGGTGGATACAGATTCAGTCATTCTGACTCAAGGAACAAGGCAGTTGAGCAGCTCGGCAGCTGTATCCATGACTGAGCAGCCCTTTTTAGGATCTACTCTGCTCACTCCAAAATGGGGGAGGGGCTAGAAAAGGTGCCCTAAACATAGTCTGCCTCTCTTTTTCCCTGACTGGATTACCACACCCAGTGGGGTCACCACCCAGCGGTGGTAAAAGACAATTGAACTTTGGAACATGGAATATATGGACAGATATAACACAGATAATGAGCATCCTGAACGCAGAACTGCCATCATTGCAAGAGAGATGTGATGTTTTAACATCAATATTGCAGTGCTTCAAGAGACTCAAAGAGCAGGCAAGGGACAACTGAAGGAAGAAAAAGGAGGCTACACATTCTTCTGGAAAGGTCTATCTGAACAAGAATGTCAAATATATGAGGTAGGCTTCGCTATCAAAAACAATCTTGTAAAGCTCCTGTCAGAAGTCCCTACCAGACTTCTGGTAAACTCACCAAAAACCAACAGGCTACTATTACCAACACACTCGTTTGACAGAAAAATAAATTTAAAACTTCATGGAGGCATCCTCAGTTTAGTTTAAGAATATTTTGTTTTGGATTTTCTGTTTTCTCAGTCCACATTTGAATGTCAGATAAACATCAATCCAAAAAATGCTCCAAAGGAAGACCCCATAATACACTTAAGTTTCCACTCCTTTCCACTCACATTTCCTAGACATTTCTATATTTGCTTATGGATGGATGTCAACCCACTTGAGCAACTAAATTGACTATGAGAAATATTTGGAGGGAACTCAATGCCATTTTCAACTGAGATTCAGAAAAAAAGATACACTGGTACCTCGGTTTTCGAACAGCTTAGTTCCCGAACAACTTGGAACTTGAATGCTGCAAACCTGGAAGTCAATGTTTCGGTTTACGAACTTTGCTTCGGAATCTGAATGTGCTCCTGAGCTTCCATTTTCACTGTTGCGCTGCTAATTTCTGCCCCCTCCCCATTGTAATCAAAGCCTTCCATTTCCGATTGAAGTGTCATGAGGTGATATTTGGAGCTTATATTTGGTGCTTTTGTTTTTGCTATTTTTTTGCGTTTTTGTTTGTGTGGCTTTTTCATTTTTGTGACTGTAGCTTGTTCTTCATTTTATGATTGATTGATTGATTGATTGATTGATTGTGTGACTACGGAAATGGATAAAAACCCACCATCCAAACAATGACTATCATCAGCGCAGGTAAGAAAGAATTTTAATTTTAATTGTTATCATCCACAATACTGTTTTATTTATTTTATAGTACAGTACAGTTATTACAGCTTTCATTTTATGGATCAATGGCCTCATTAGATAGAAAAAATCACGTTAAATTGCTGTTTTAGAGGTTGTGTATAAAAGTCCGGAATGGATTAATTCATTTTCCATTACTTTCTATGGGAAAGCATGCCTCAGTTTTGGAACACTTTGATTTTGGAACAGACTTCTGGAACGGATTAAGTTTGAAAACCAAGGTACCACTGTACTGGTTTCCAGGCAAGGGATTAGTATTCACATATAACAGGGAATATAATGATTCCTTGAATGCGCTGCCTACAGTTTTGAAGCAGATACTCATTTGCATTCACATTTGTACATGAAAATATCTATCCTTTCCTAGCTATTTTAGTAGATGCCTATGGAAGGATGTCAACTCACTTTAGCAATTAAAATGACTATGGGGGAATGGGGGGGGGCAGAGAGAGATATTGGTGTCCTGGCAAGAGATTAGTATTCACTTATATTTTTATTATTATTATTATTAAAGATTTCAACATAACAATTAATCAAAAACATATCATCCTCATTCCCCCCCCTATTTTCCCCTCCTCGAAAAGAAAACCAGCCCTCCCCCCCGCCCCCCCCCAGACTTCCCTCAGCTCCTCTCTCTGTTCACTCATAACATGGAATATAATGATTCCTTGGATGAGCAGCATTCGGTTTCAAGCAGATACTTACTTTCTCCATCTGAAATAGATAGAAATCAATGAGATCCTGTGGATCATGCAGAGACTGATTCTCCTTATGCTTCTCTATCTCCTCCTTTGCAAATGAACGCACCATCTCCACGCAGGACAGGGCCTTCTTGTGGGGCCCTGGGAGATGCTTCATGAGCCATGGTAGCATTTCATAAAGCTAAAGGAAGAATAGCAGAAATGCTGCCATTACCATGAGGAATCTTGTTCAAACCATTTGTGCTTTGGAATTGCACTCATAAAACATGATCTGCATTATTCTTCAGGGCTAGCATATTAGTTTGAGTCTCACTAAGAAGAAGGAAGGTGTCTATAGCTTCTCTGGAATCCCACAATGATTGGATTATGTGAATTATCGCTAGCTGAAAATGTGAAAGAAAACTATGGCTCAAAATATTTTTGCAGCTCCCTGGCATAATTTCAAAACTAGGCACAATCTCAGGACCTCTCCTGGAACAAGTTAGTGCCCTTTTGTGGTAGGTGGGGGTGGTTGGAGAATAGGTATGGGGGGAAATTCAAGTATGTTTCATGAGTCTTTTTTTTTTACAGATTAGGAATGGATGTAGAAATGTGGAGAACTGAACTTAAATTTGAGGAAAGGGTTTAGTTGATCATACAGAAGGGGGCTGCTTTCCTCAGCAATAGCGATAGTGCTTGAGTTGCTGGTCTCTCTTTCATTAAAAAAAAATTCCAGCCAACTGGTGGCTGCAGGGGTCTCACCATGGATGTCATCATGATTGCCACTGCTAGGTGGGTATAGAGTAGACACATTTAGTTTTCCATGATGGCAACAAAACGATGTAATTCCCTTCTTGAGAAGATTATTTTGTTCACCTCTGTCCCCTTTGGTGGGCTCTCGATGACCTATTCTGAAGGTCATTGTTCCATTTTTGTCCCATCTTCCCTCCAAAGAGTCTCCTGTGGTGGACAAAGTCTTCTTTTGTTGCTGTTTTATGGGGGGGGGTTGTGCGTGTTTTTTATCTCAATGATAATCTTGAGCAATGGATCAGGCTGTGAGATAGTAAGTGGCCCTTATCTCAGATCAATTTAAACCTGATCTCACTTCTCCAACCCTCTATCAGAATACTGATTTGTGGTATTAAAGCCCTTGGGAGACCTGTTTGGCAGGAATGGAAATGACTACTCACAGCATAACCAAAGCTACATGCAAATTGTAGGGAAAAATCTATGGCTTCTATCAGCTTCTGCAACCTTTCATCTTCAAAAGCAAACCGGTGTCCAAAAGCCACAGCACTTATCATGTTGGAGACTGAGGTAGCGATGGGCATGGAAGGGTCAAGTGGCTGTCCTGCAAAATAAAGTTATACTAATGTTAGCTCAGCTGGTCCAGTTCATACTGAGAGTGGGGTTTCATGGTGGCCAAGAGAAACTGCTGGAATCTCCATTAGGAACCAAGAAAAGCATATCACATTCCTTTCTAAAATGGACAGAGGTAGTACACAAATATATCTTCATACGCCAGCTCAGCACCATCACCTAGCATCACATACCCTTTGAACGTGCAAAAGCCTCTACGAGCTGATGAGCCTCCCGTGCTATTTGGTGCTATTTCTTCCCCAGCCCCAGCTTGTGCATAGTAACTACACCAAAGCGTCTCTGTTGTCTCCAAGTGCTATTTGGTGCTATTTCTTCCCCAGCCCCAGCTTGTGCATAGTAACTACACCAAAGCGTCTCTGTTGTCTCCAAGTGTGACCATTTGATAATGCAATACCTATGGAAAATCAAGGAGAAATTATTACTTACAGAAATCAATGTGAAAAGTTGCCATCTCAGAACAAACAATGTTTACTGAAGTTCATGCCTTTGCATGAAAGAGCTGCTTAGACACAAATATATCTCCATATGCCAGCTCAGCACCATCACTTAGCATCACATACCCTTTGAACGTGCAAAAGCCTCCACGAGCTGATGGGCCTCCTCTGCTACTTGGTGCTCCATGCCTTTCTTTTCCTGCCACAGCTTCCGCAGAGTAACTACAACAAAGCGTCTCTGTTGCCTCCAGGTGTGACCATTTGATAATGCAATACCTATGGAAAATCAGTGAGAAACAACAACAATCATACCTCGGGCTAAAGTCGCTTCAGGTTAAATCTTTTCAGGTTGCCTCCCACGGCGACCCGGAAGTAACAGAACAGGTTACTTCAGGGTTTTGCCGCTCGCACATGCGCAGATGCTCAGGATGACGTCACAGGCATGTTCACTTTACAGTATCAGCAAAAAGTGAGATTTCTCGACAGCTCTACCGTTTTGATTTTTGAAGAGAAAACTGGTATCTGATACAGTGTGATGTCGACAAGTTTAGATTTTTCCATGGAAGGCCGTCACGATCAAATTTCACTTCTCATTTGGGAGACAAATGGATGGCAGGTGTTGTAGAAGGATAAAAGACTTAACTTGCTTCTGGCCACCCTAACCTGGTGGGTCAGTTTATCAGCCAGAGCAGCAGACCACACCAGAGCATATCATGAGTCTACTGAAAGCCCTGCTGTACAGTGTTAACATTTAGCTTTTTGTAAGCAAGCATTTATCAGCAAAATAGATGCTTTGATTCACCAATTATTCCTAGCAAAGCTAAGAAGGGAGTTGGGTTTATCTATGTAAACAGCCCCTAGGTGTTGGCTCCTAGGTAATGCATTTCCTGTTAGGATATTTCCGTTCCACCTTAAAAGGGAGCAGGCTTTGTGAGTCAGAGTCTGCGTATTTCCTGTTCACAGGATGTTTATGTTTTCTGTTGCTTTCGTTTTCTCTCTTGTGTCGCAGACACTAAAGCAGGCAGTCACGTTTTTCTGTGTTCTGATCAACGCTGAATAAACTTGTAAATAATGCTCTCCTGATTGCAACTTTTGGCTGTGCATTATCTGCTGATAGAGTGTGCATGAGCTCTGGAATGTGGCAAGAAATCTTCTAGAAACTCATGTCGCTAATTGATGATACTGCGTGCCTACGGGAGGTCGATGGATCGTCCGGCAGACGGCTTGGGGCCATGATGGACTTTATCTCCCTGGCAGTATCCCAACAACAGGTTTCGGGCCCAGATTCACGGCACTTACAGGAGAGTAAGACTGCGACAGACTGCTGAAAGGTATGTGGAAGAAAAGCGAAAGTGAGGCTTTTCTGTTTGCCGCGGCAAGAGCTTTGATGTCCGGCAGGCCTAATTGGTCTGGGCGTCGAGCCCAGAAGGCTTCGTGATTAATGAGCTGCTAAGATAAGACGTCTTTAAAGGCTCAAGGCTCAAGAAAAAAGCTGGAATGGAGTTTTTCCAGACTTCTGAGGCTGCTGAGTGCCCAAAGTTAAATCGGCACAATTATGGGACCTGGGCTGTGTGGTGTGAGAGCTTGCTGCGTCAGTTTGGAGTGTGGCATACTGTGTCTGAAGCCCCTCCAGTTCCTCTGACAGATAGATGGGAGGCCGAGAATTTGAGGGCGATAGACGTAATCGTCTTGTCCGTCTCTCTGGAGGAAATAAAGATGCTAGCTGGCAATCTGACTGCACGAAAGATGTGGCATGCTTTGAAGATAGCCCATTTGCCAGTCATCCCAGCCCAGAGTTTGACTGCATCGGAGGTCCTGGCTGTTTCCCAGAATGCGAGTGAATGCAGGGATGCCGAGGGCACCGGTTGCAAGCTGCAGGGGGAGCTGACTGTCAAGTCATCCCAGGCAGCATTCCAGCCTCCAGGGGGAGCCAAGGAGTCGGCAGCTGAAGGCTCTGTTTCTCGTGGGAGCCAAGGTCATCGCCTTTGCAGAGGCCGGAAGGGCAAAGGTAAACAGAGGCAGACGCCTGCAGATGGCCGGAAGCAGAGGGAGGGTGAAGAGCCCACGCCAGAGGAAAACAAGGTTTTGTTTGCTGGCACAGCCTCACCAAAGGCTAAAGGCAAGTCTGATGGCCAGGAGCAGGGGGGCAAGCTGCAAAAGCCCACGCCGATGGAAAACAAGGTTTTGCTTGCTGCAAAGGCTGCTCCAAAAGCCAAGGCCAGGTTTGTTGTTGATTCAGGCTGTACCCGCCATGTGTCGAAAGACCGCCATCTCTTTATCTCCTTCAAGCCTCAAGAAGGTGAGATCCACCTGGCTGACGGAAAAACGTTGCGAATCGCAGGAGAAGGGACTGTGAAACTGGCAAGTCTGCACACGACCATCAAAGATGTACTGTATGTTCCAGGCGCTGCAGACAATTTGCTCAGTGTCCCACAGCTTACTGGGCGTGGTTTTGAGATTTCCTTCAAGAGGAGCGTCTGTGTCATCAGAAAAGGCAAAGAGGACATTTTGCATGCAAAGTTTATGGATGGCTTGTTCTGTATAACTTATGATGACATTGGTGCTGTTGTGTCTAATGCTGATTCTTGTTGTGTTGCACAAACTAACAAAGTTCTTCATGCAGGATGCATTCATGATGCACACAGAAGATTTTGTCACATGTCTTGGCAGGCGCTGGCCAAGATGCCAGAGATGGTTGAGGGTTTGAACATCAAACCCTGTAAGTTTCACATGAAATGTGTATCTTGTGCAGAGAACAAGGTGAAGGTTGCTCCAAAAGGCAAGGAGTCTAGCAGGCAGGCTTCCAAACCCTACCAGCTAGTGCACGCAGACCTGGTTGGTCCACTTGCGCCCTCTTTGGGTGGAGCAAGGTACTTCATGGTTCTAATTGATTCTTTTTCCAGGTACATTCATGTGTTTATGCTCGAGCAGAAATCGCAAGCGTTTCCTAAGTTCAAGGCATTCTGTGCTTGGTTGGAGAATGTTCACGGTAAACGCATTGGCTGTCTGTTTACTAATCGAGAGGCTGAATTCACTTCTCGGCAGTTTGAAGCTTTCCTGACTGAGAAGGGAATCCAGCATAGCCTCTCAAGTCCTGGATCTCCATGGGAGATTTGTGAGCAAGCAAAGCAAACGTTGCTGCAAGGACTGAAAACATTGTTGCATGATGCCACTCTCCTGAGAAGTTTTGGGGGGAGTCTTTGAACTCGTTTGTTTACACTTTTAATCGCAGGTTGTCATCACCTATTGGTTGTACTCCCTATGAGAAGATGTTTGGTAAGAAACCCAACATCAAGCACATGAGAATTTTTGGTTCTGACATGTGGGTACACACCCCACAGAGCAACAAGCTCGGGAAGCGTGGGGCACATGGTTTGTTCATGGGGTACGAAAAAGGTGCATACAGGGTGTGGATGACCAACTCTAAGTCCATTAAATTCACAAAGAGTGTTGAGTACAATCCTAAGTGGGGGAAAAATGTGGGAATTTTCCAGAGGTACCCAGAGGAGGATGAAGGCGACGTCAAAGAAGCAGCTAAAGCTGAGGAAGCTGCTGAGGATGATGATGACGATGATGATCAGAGTTCGGATTCCAGTTCAGTGGGCGGCGCTGCTGCTGATGTCAGTGACAGTGATGACACAGCAGACTACAAGAGCGCAAAGGCCTCAGTCAGACCATCTGATGCGTCTGACAATGAACTGGAAGAACCACTGTTCACCATTGGTCACTTTTCTCCTAAGAAGGAGGAGATGAGTCCAGAAGACTTGCGTCTAGTACGCAGATCTGAGAGGGCCACGAAGGGCAGACCTCCAAAGAGATTTGCTGATGAGTTTGCTAAGACAGCAACTGCTGTTCTTAGTAGCTCAGAGAAGGTGTGGGAACCTTCAAGCTTCAAAGAGGTTCAGGAGTTAACCTCTAAAGATGCTGAGCCTTGGCTTAATGCCATGAAGGCTGAAGTTGATTCCTTGAATAGGAACCAAACTTGGGAGTTGGTACCGGTAGTCCCAGGGATGAGACTGGTTGGCAGCAAATGGGTCTTCAAGGCCAAGACAGACCAGAATGGCAAGGTTGTCAGTCACAAAGCCAGATTGGTTGCCAGAGGTTTTTCACAGGTACCAGGACAGGATTACCACGAGACCTACTCACCCACCGTCAAATATGAGAGCATTCGGCTGATGCTCAAGATTGCTGCGGAGGAGAAACTGCATGTTTCCCATCATGACATTAATACAGCTTTTTTGTACGGGGTTCTGGGGGAGGAGCTGTTTATGCTTCCACCTGACGGGATGCAGATACAGAAGGGAATGGTCTGTAAACTGCGGAAATCCTTATATGGTCTCAAGCAGAGTGCCAGGTGTTGGAACACAAAACTCACTGAGACATTGCTTTCTCTAGGTTTTCACCAGGGCAAAGCTGATCCATGTGTGTTTGTCAAGGAGGAGGGGCAAAACAAACTGTATTGTTTATGTTTTGTTGATGATCTTCTGATGTTTTGGAAGAATCAGGCTTTGTACCAAAGCACCCTAGCTCAACTGAAGGAGCACTTTGACATGAAGGATCTTGGTGAGGTATCCAACTATCTTTCTCTGCAGGTGGAGAGGGACCAAGCAGGTAATTTTCTGGTACACCAAACACAGAAAATTGCTGATTCAACCAGGTTGAATTTGGTTGATGCAAACCCAGCAGACACACCGATGGTGACAGGTTACCAGGTAGACAGTACTGCTGAAGCGTTTTCTGACACAACGCTGTACAGATGCATTCTAGGCAAGTTGAATTTCATTGCTAGATGCTCAAGACCTGACATTGCTGTAAGCTGTAACCTGCTTAGCAGACATGCCAACAATCCTACTGTTCAGGATTGGAAAGCTCTGAAGCGCATAGCCCGCTATTTGAAAGGGACTATGCACTACAGGCTGAGGTTCACCAGTCAGAAGACTGGAGGTCTTGAAATCTTTGCAGATGCAAGTTTTGGAAGTGACACCACGGATGGTACAAGCACTTCTGGAGTATGCTACATGTACAACCACTGCCTGTTTGACTGGTTGTGCAAAAAGCAGACAACAGTGAGCCTAAGTTCCTGTGAAGCAGAACTCAATGCTCTGTCATTTTCACTCATGGATTGTGAATGGTTGATGCAACTGTTTAAGGACATCGGGGTTTCTGTGAAATGTCCTGTACAAGTGTATCAAGACAATAGATCGTGTTTGGCTTTGCTGAACTCGGAGAGTTGCAAGCAAAGGACCAAGTACTTGCAGATTAAGCTACATCGTGCAAGGGAGTGTATTCAGAAAGGACTCATTCAGGTGTCCTACATGCCAGGAAATGAAATTCCTGCTGATCTGTTGTCTAAGGTTGTTAACAGAGAACAACTTAAGGTTTATGTACAAAGGTTGCAATTGGGTTGAACCACAGGTACTACAGGTTACACGGAAAGGGGGAGGATGTTAGGATATTTCCGTTCCACCTTAAAAGGGAGCAGGCTTTGTGAGTCAGAGTCTGCGTATTTCCTGTTCACAGGATGTTTATGTTTTCTGTTGCTTTCGTTTTCTCTCTGTGTCGCAGACACTAAAGCAGGCAGTCACGTTTTTCTGTGTTCTGATCAACGCTGAATAAACTTGTAAATAATGCTCTCCTGATTGCAACTTTTGGCTGTGCATTATCTGCTGATAGAGTGTGCATGAGCTCTGGAATGTGGCAAGAAATCTTCTAGAAACTCATGTCGCTAATTGATGATACTGCGTGCCTACGGGAGGTCGATGGATCGTCCGGCAGACGGCTTGGGGCCATGATGGACTTTATCTCCCTGGCAGTATCCCAACAGTGTGCAGCAGTAATAGAGAACCTTTGTTCTGTTTTTCTGGACAGCCCTTTAAATGTTTCATCTTCAGAAAATACCAGTAGAAATTCATATTCTTCACTACTTACCATTTCCTTTTATCAGAGTCCTAAGTAAAGGAGTCTGGTCGCTCGTCTAATTCTTCAGAGTGGTCAATGAGCGCTTCTTTCACCGCTTGGAATCCAGACAGTACTACAATGGGTCGATGTCCAAACCATAGGGTGTAAATATTTCCATGTTGCTTTCCCAGCTACCATTTGGGTCAAAAGAGAAGAAAGGAATGATGTGTTCAAAAAACGCAGTTGGATATTTCAACTTAATACGAGAACGTCATCCTCCCTCACCTCTGCAATTTCTCACTATGTGCAGTTCTCTTGCTATCATCTTTCCCCCCCCCTCCTCCTCCTCCCTCTTTTCCTTCCTTCCTTCCTTCCTTCCTTCCTTCCTTCCTTCCTCCCTTCCTCCCTCCCTCCCTCCCTCCCTCCCTCCCTCCCAGAATTCCAACCCATTTGTTTTACTCCCTCCTAGCCATGTTGCCTCTGCCTAGGATCAGAGCAGCAGAGACACTTCATAGTAACCAGCCCTCCTGCGACAGACAAGAAGATGACAAGTCATTGCCAGAAAATGATCTTGCCACAATCTTTGTGTGTACAGGGATGTGGAACCTGTAGCCCACCAGATGCTTTTGAACTAGAACTCCCACCATCCCTGACTATTGGCCACGGTGGTTGGGGCAGATGGGCTTTGTAGTCCAAAATATCTGGAGGGTACCAGGTTGGCATAGGCTGGGCTAGAGTCCTGGGTCAGCTTTCAGACCCACGGTGGGTTACAGCAGGAGCATCACCACCATGCAAATATATGGCAAGGAATTAAGATGATACATGTCTGGGCTAGAGATTATTACCAATTCCAATGTTTTGAAAGTTAATATGTTCATATCCGATGGTTGAGTAATTTTGTATTTTTTGAAGAGTTTTTGCTGAAAAAAGGCTCATAATTGTATTTAAGAAACAAACAAATAAACTAAACTATGGTCTGACAAAGAGTAAATGCTTGCGGAGGAGGCAATGGAAAGGTGCCTGTTCTGTTTGTCTCTTGTCTTCTCTGGTTACACGTGAGCTGCTGTTGAGAAAGGCTGGTGTGCTCCTGCTTCATTGCCAGTTGAACTTGTTGCCCTTCCGTCTGTTGGAAGGGGAGAAGTACACAGCATTCTAGGCCAGGGATGTCCAACAGGTAGATCGTGATCTACTAGAAGATCGTGCTGTGTCTGTGGTAGATCTTGGGGGCCCCCCGAACCCCCCCCCCCGAAAGCTCAAGAACTCTGGCTCCCTAAAAAAGCTCAACAAATTTGGTAGATCACCGCCAGTTTTTTTATAGTGGGAGTAGATCTCAGTCTCTTGAAAGTTGGACATACCTGTTCTAGGCCATGTCGCAACACGCAATAGAACAAAAGGAAGACAAGATCAAGAACATACTGTAATAAGCTGTTTTCTTAATTCAGCTTCTTGTGTTACACAATGTGTTTTGGAGATGAGTGCCCTTCAACCAGCAGCTATGAACGACAAACATTAAAACTAGTATAAAGGGGCAAGATTCCGATTAATACTGAAAAGCACAAAACCATACAAAGTAGGATAATGGCAGCATGGGTAGCTATGTGAAATCAGGGGGAAACACCAAGGCAACATAAAATGTTGTTGTATTTTCAATTTGTAAGTTGTACCAAGACTTCCTTTCCAAGTGCCATTAGTTTCACAGCTTTCTAAATGACTCTGTGAAGCTGATTTCACAGCCCTGGCCTTGTAATCTTGGAGAGAGTATTACCTGGAGATTAGCACTTACTGTAGGTGTTGCGTTTGCAAAGTAAAGGAAGGATTGAACAATACACACAGAGACTTGAACCAGCAAGACTCTGGGAAGGGTGCGTATAATCGTGTCTCTCTGTGCTTGTCCGATGTGCAGCCCCTGGCCCAGGCCGTTTTTATTCACAAAAAGCTTTTTACAGAGTGTTCGCAAGAACCAATCAGGTTTCTTCTGAGCATTTCAAACAAACCTCAAGTGGGGACAAAGTTAAACTATAAACACTAGTTATCCATGCATACTTTTGGGGTAAATGAATGAATACTACAAAGGAGTGAATACAGCAACCCCGGAGGTCATAAACAATCAGTACACATGATAAGGAGGATGGCCAGGAGGACAACAATCACTATCACCTTCATGTGAGATCTGTTTCCTGGCCCTAAGATTAACATCCTAAGATTACCTATTAGAAACTACAAAGATGAAACTGCCCAGTCTTTGAGGACACAGGACGCCTGCCTGTCTAAGTGTGTACGTGATTTGTGGAGAGCAAGGAGAAATGGGCAGCAGAGGCAAAAGGGCATGGAAAGGACATGAATGTAGGATCTTATGGGATTTAATCAGAAATTGTCAATATATCAAAACCAGTCAACACAATGCTTTCATCGTGGACACGATGGCTTGATGTATATTTTATAATTCCTCATGGTAATCCCATCTGACCCCTACAGTAGGCTTGCCATACATCAGGAAAAATCCTGACATGTCCTGACAGGAATCGGCAAAATGTCAGGGAACACCCAGATGTACGGCAACCCAATGAAAAAAGCTCAACAATTTCCTAAAAAATGGCAACCCTAATTTACTGCAGAGATCCTTTAAGAAGATTTTGGTATTTTAGTTTATAATTTGTTTTTTATAAGTGTTCTGGTTTGAGTGAAAAAGATTGAATAGCGCATGGAGGTTAGTACCTGTTGAGAGGCTGCTGTGAATGAATGCTGTGGTCTGTCTTTTTTCTGTAATAATATTTTATTCTTTTTTCATATAGAAAGTTACATTTCTTAACCTTGGTAACCTCAAGGTAAGATTACTTGCAATGTGTTATACATAGGGCTGCCTCTGAAGACAGTTCGGAAACTTCACCTAGTGCAGAATTCAGCGGCCCGGTTGCTCACCGGAACAAGAGCAGATTACATCGCTCCTGGTCCGGCTGCACCAGCTACCAATTAGTTTCTGGACCCAATTCAAAGTGCTGGTTTTGACCTAGAAAGCCTTAAATGGCTCAGGACCACAATACCTCAAGGACCGCCTCTTTCAATATGATCTTACCCAGACCCTGAAATCATCTTCTGAGGCCCTTCCTTGTGTCCCTCCTCCATAAGAGGTCCAGAGGGTGGTAACACAAGAATGGACCTGCTCTGCAGTGACTCCCCGTCTGTGGAATGCTCTCACCAGGGAAGTTCACCTGGCAAAACCTTCCTTTTTAACTAGTTGATTTCACTGACATCCTATGCCCTTTTAAAATGTGGTTCTTTTTTGTGGCGGGGGGGGTGTTATTGGGTGGTTAATAATAATAATAATAATATTCCAATTAACAAAACAATCGGAATATAGAATTTTTCCATATACAGTCATACCTCATGTTACGTTTGCTTCAGGTTGCACGTTTTCAGGTTGCATTCCGCAGCCACCCAGAAGTACCGGAAAGGGTTACTTCCGGGTTTCGCTGTTCACGCATGCGCAGATGCGCAAAATGATGTCATGTGCATGCTCAGAAGCGGCGAATCGCAACCCGCACGTGCGCAGATGCGCAGGCGGGTGTTGCGTTCTTTTCAGGATCCCATTCGCAACCAGAGGTACCACTGTAGAAAGTTATATTTGTTACTCAATAATTATATTCCATTTCAACAAAACAAGTACTGCCCTCTCACCCAACATCAATGCTTATAACTCGAATTACATACAATTGCATTTTAAAGTTCCATTTTATCTAATTTAACACTCTCTAACATGTTTCTTAACCCCTCACTGATGACAGTGAGACTGAGGATAGGCAACAGCCACAGAAGCAGCAGCAGCCACAGCCACAGCTGCCGCAACAACCCACACCCACTGATGAAGGTCCTGATCCTGAATCTGAGACTGAATCAGATGATTCAGAGGATTTCAGGAGTGCGAAAGCCTCTATGCGACCCTCTGAAAGCTCTGATCAAGCCTACCCGAGAAGAATGGCAGATGAAAGTAATGGACTATATGGAATTGGCTGAGATGACCGGCAGAATTCGAGACCAGGGAGAAGGGTCGATGGAAGAAGACTGGAAAAAATTCAAAATATATCTTCAAAAATATTGTAATATAAAGGAATGTTAGAAAGAGGTTGGAAAAGGAATATTAGGTCGTTTTGGCAGATATGATATAATGGATTATGTAAAAATGAGGTATGGAAATTGATGAAATAGAGGAGGATTAATTACAGTATTGAACGTTAAAATAAGTAAATGAAAAGAAGGTTAGAAGGATTTGCTGGAAATACGATTTGGACTAGAATACAAAGCTGGGGGGTGAGAGGAGGTCACGGAAATAAGTAAAGGGAAAAAAGGTTAGGTAAAGGTTTAATTTTTGTTTTATTTTAATGTAATGTATTATTGTATTTTTTGTTAAGTCTTTTTCACTGTTTGTTTTTTGTTATATGCTTATTTTATTTTGTATGGATGTTCTTTTCTTTTTTGTAATCTTAAACTTGGAATAAATATCATTTAAAAAAAAAAAAAAGCTCTGATCAAGAATTGGAGGAACCATTGTTCACAATAGGTCACTTTTCTCCTAAGAAGGAAGAGGAGAGTGTTGAAGACCTACGGCTAGTTCGCAGGTCACAAAGAGCCACTAAAGGCAGACCTCCAAAGAGATTTGCTGATGAATTTGCTAAAACAGCAGTAGCAGCTGTTAAAAGCTCCAAGAAGGTATTTGAACCTTCAAGTTTCCAAGAAATCCAGGCTTTGGATTCAAAGGATGCTGAGCCATGGTTAACTGCCATGAAGGCTAAGCTTGATTCCTTAGAGAGGAACAAAACATGGGAGCTAGTTCCAGTAGTTCCAGGAATGAAACTGTTTGGAAGCAAATGGGTCTTCAAAGTGAAGACAGATCAAAATGGCAAGATAGTCAGACACAAAGCCAGATTGGTAGCCAACGAGTCAAGTTTATTTATAGGCACGAACAAGCTTATGGTTTCAGTTAATTTTTCTTGGCAGTTTCTTAATCTTAGTTCCTTAACTGTACTATGCGTTCCTAACAACTTCAAACTGATTATTCCAACTATCTATCTGACTCCACCTAACAATTCCTCTCATTCTCTCACCACACAACTCAACCAACCCACAGACTATTCTCCCTCCTCCTTCTTCAACTCCCAACTCTCAACTGACTTTCACACAACTCCCACTCTAACTCTAACCCCTCCTATCAGTTTCTCTCTGGCCAATCACACTCATTTAACCCTTTCCTTATGACCCACCTAGGAGGCAAACGCCACAGGTGCAAACCTATTACACTCACTTGGTTATTGCTCCTACTCCAGCAATTCC